GGTGTGCCGCAGGTGTGCCACAAGTGTGCCACAGGTGTGCCGCAGGTGTGCCGCAGGTGTGCCACAGGTGTGCCACAGATGTGCCGCAGATGTACCGCAGGTGTACCCCAGGTGCGCCGATTGTGCCGGTCATAGAGCAAACTGAGATTGTTTTTAACATACCCATTCTGACACCTTGAATGTTTTATTTTGAAATCGCTAGGATAAATCAGTCTAGTGGCAACCAAGGAGGAATGCAATGTTTAAAAATAAAAATAGCATCGAAAAATACTACCGCCGTCGGACGTATGTGAAGAAAAAATGCTCCCATAAATGTAGCTGTGGTTACTATCCCATGGTAACTGATTAGACCTGATTCTACATGTATCTGATCGGTTGTGGATGAAACTAAAATTCATAGTATTCATTCGACAGCCGATTGGGGATGACACGGCATGTGGCGAGTATGCAAATTTTTTCTCGTGTTCATAGGATAATAAAAGTCCTGTGTATTAGGGGTTTTTAATGCCCTCAATGGCAGAACAGAAGCCTAGCTTTCGTGATGTGAAAAGCAGCGGTCTATCAGCGGCCGGAAAGAGTTGGAACCGGTGGGGAACATTGTTGCAGATCGAATGTAGAGGATGATGAATATGACTTCTGTAATTTGTTTTGTGTGAGTTGCATCATTATTTGAATTAAGGGTACTAATGGGGTCTGATTAGCTGCCTCTTTCTCTCAAGCCCATTCTAGAACCTGCATTTCGGATTTAAATCTATAAGTGAACTGAAGTGAACTGCTAGTTCGAGTGCCTTTGGTATATTCAATTAGAGCCTATGGCTAAAAATCTCTCAAACAAAGATTAAAAAAAAATCAATTAGAGGATGTTCGTGAATATACAGTCGAACAGCACGTAATGTTTTGAACAACTTCAATGACAGTTGTCCAGCAGTGCTCTCATTTTATTTGCAACAATCCAATGCCTACGGGATTGTGTCGATAGAACGGTGCCTGTGGTGTAGTGATAAGCGTGATTGCCTCTCACCCCAGCAGGCCTGGGTTCAATCCCAGTCGGCGCCACCGGGATGTTCTGAGGCATAACATCTCTGATCACGTCTTCCTTCGGAAGGGAAGTAAAGCCGTTGGTCTCCGGTTCATGAGTTGATGGGTCGATAGGTAGGGTTCACGTGTGGGAGCTGCCTTGATGTCAGAATACCATAATTTGTTATTTAAAAGGTCTTTTAAAACCAATCCAACTAAATGGTCAGGTTCTGTTATTTTGGTATTTATTTGAGCATACCAAATAAAGGTATCATACCCAAGGAATCAAAAATATCTCCAAATAACAAAATGACAAGCGATCAACGAACAGAATGATAATGAAGCAATAGTGGAAAGCAATAATGATATAATCTTCTTCCTTTTTTATTCATGGTAAGCAGCCCGTGCGACACAACTCACTCGGGCGGTAAAAGAAAACGAGTAAATTGTTGACAAGCTGCTTAACGAAAAAAAAAGCCTAAGATGTGTGTGTTAATAGGATTTTTTTGCTACACTGAGGCAAATTGAACGACACATTGGAATTTCATAAGCACGATTTATGACAATTTTTCGTCTAACATGGAACTCCTTTGGCCATTCCATTTTCCCAAGCGTTGACAGACGAGTGGTCTAGAAACATGACCCGTAATCTCATCTTCCAAATTTTTTTAAAAGCCAAATCTTTGAAATTCATACCGATTTCTTGTGGGTAAAATTCATAAGTGGTTCTTTTGGAATTCTTACGTTCTTTTGCCCCAGTGTATTTCTTTTCTCGATTCAGATCAAGCTATGTCCTCATCCATTTATATTGAAACAAAGCAGACAAGCAATATATCATTATCCTTCTACCACTCCGATCGAGCTATGTTACGGAGTGAGTTTTTCTCATTGTAGTCGTAGCAACCGTTTGTCCTGTATCGTTTGGTGCTTTATGTGTTTGGATTCACTGATCATACACTGAGGCAAAAGAACGTACAAATTCCATAAGAACCACTTATGAATTTTAGCCACAAGAAATTGGTATGAATTTCAAAGATTTACCTTTTAAAAACTTATGTTGGCATTGTTTTATCGTAGCATCCCTTGCAGTCTGTGGTTGTATTACGGTTTTGTGTGCTTGTCATAAAATCAGGACGTCAAGTCGTCTATAAAACTGTTTTATGACTACTAAATTAAAACTCAGACTTCATAGTTTTAATCTTAGCTGTAAGGTGATTCTGTATCACTACTTATAACTGCAGAATAAATCCAAAACAAAACATACAATTATGTTTTATGGCATACTTTTCATGACCGATATAAAACTTGAAGCAGCCTTAGACCTTCATTACAGACTCATTACAACTATCATCTTTATCAGAGGCCAAAGATTCACAGATAAGAAACATACCCTAGTAGCACGCTTGTCTCTAATCGGTTGTGGAAACTTCTATACGACTTATTTCAGTCATAAACAAGTTGCTGCACCTTATTGTAGTGGAAGTGTGCTACTCGGGTACTTCAACAATAACAAAAAATACTCTGAAAATTGTTACCAATATAAAAAAAAAACAATTCTATCCAGAAACATGAAATGAAAACCCCTTCAGTGCTTTTGAACACGATGAAGATGAGATGATTGCCAATATGAAACTCCTGGAGGATCTACAGTTATGAACTCCCTCATATAACATAAGGCACAGTGCGGTGAAGGAGCTCTTAAAAATATTGAACAAGCGGCTTTCCGATACAATTCTGAAAGATCCATGAACCCTTCTTAAAACAACGCAGACCCTTTCACTAAATCCGGTTGGAGATGGCCAGTATTGGCCTCACGGCACTAAACCTTGTATTGAACAAGCTTTTAGTGGATCCAATAAGCATTTCATACATCTTGATTACAAGAGAAAATAGGAGGATCGCTTGTAATGTTGACTTTTTGACAGGTTGCCATGGGTTTTGTTTTGTTTTGATTCGCTGTACCGAATAAAACCAGAAAGCTAGCTATAAAGCTAACATATAACTTAATGCTTTCAAGTTGGACTATGAAATGCTGAGATACAACCATTAGGTTTATGTTATGCTTTAGAATTCCAATCTAGGAGAATATGTTATATTGAGGCAATTTTTAGGAGCAGCACGTTATATCGAAAAAAATGTCACCGTATCAGAAAATTTCACACATTCATACTGTGTATTATTACATATTACGCTTTAAATAATAGGCGATAAAACACTAACATACATCTATATATAATTAATTAATTTGTGACTGTGACTGATATGTTCAACAGTAGTAACAGTTTTGAACTAAATAGATAATCTTTTAATGACTCTTTAACGCATGGTGCTAATGTAGACAAATTAAAAATATCCCTTTATTTTAGTATTCATATGGCGCACTACATTAAGCTCCTATTTGGTATAATAATCACCATAAATATTGCACGGCATTCTGTGAAGCATATACAGATTGGTTAAAAAATGTAATAAAGTCGTCTTATTTTCAATATACAATAATATCAGCTATTATTACCAACTGACAAGGATCATGATTTCACATCAAACATCAAAAGAATAAAACCACAGTAAAATATTTCTCAATATTAACTATTATCCAAAAACCTCAAGGTTGTCAAAATGTTTTGCGTATCATTTTTTATTAAATTCTTCATTAGCGATTTATGCGGTTGTAACAAGTTGTATGGTAGTCATCAAAACGTTGTTAAAACTTTCTGACCTGGAGGAGGTTTATGTTTTCATTTTTAACAACCTCGTGTAGAGTGTGATAAAACAGACATAAAACCTATGCTCGTAAGGTAGTTCGGATATCAAGTTTTAATTATTGCATTAAAACTGGGCCAATTGGTCATGACATGGCTGTATAGCGGTTGTCAGGAGGTTGTTAAAGCAATGTGGTCGTCAGTGAAGGTTTTATAATTTGGTTCTATCAACTGCTATAAAACATCAATAAAACAACAATTGTTGCTTGGGGCAGTTTGTCCCATCATGCATTTTGCAATGCCATCGTCCAGAAGTGAAGTTACAGTTTGAATTACCATATTTGTGCAATGGGAATGTTTATTTTGGAGCAAGTCAGTTAAACTTTTATGTACTATATATCATTTTTATCGAGCATTTAAGGCACCTACTATCTTCAGATAAATTAGTCTTCATACCATACAAAAGCCAAAAAAAAATTATATGAAGTTTGTTTTACAGTTATTTGGTGAGTTATGACCGTTTCAAGTTGAAAATGAGCCAAAAACCAATATTTTTTTTTAATGAAAGTGCTTCGGACCAGGCTTTGTTATAAGCAAATGTGCTGATTGTATGCAAAATAAATTTTCGATGGGGATTTCGAGAATCAGAGAACATTGCGAAAAAAAGGCACCCGAGCAACAAAATGATAGGAAATCGATATTGAAGTTTGCAGCTCCTATCGAAATTTGAGGACACATTTGAGGTTATTCGTGACTTATCTGGGGTGAAATTTGATATCCAGTCTTTCAGCGTGAGAAGCATGCATGCTAACCATTCACGCCAAGCCCGTATTCAGTTAAATATTATGAATGCATAAACAGTAATCAAATTGATTTAATTGAATGCAATATTAGTTTTCCGTTTGATGCAACAGTGTAAACTGTTGCTTTCAATTTTGCTGTGTTAACCTTTAAGTCAACCAAGATGAGATCAAATTGAAATCGAAAATTGTAGTTATGATGAAAATTATGGAAATAACAGCAAATTTTGATTTCAATTTGATCTCCAGCTTTGCTCGGATAGTGTGAATATTGTACATTTTCAATCAATCACCATGAAGGTTCATTGATGTGCGAATCGACGCAGCATGCTTCTGTCAATGGTACGAGCGAATTTACTCCTTCCTGCAGAGAGTAGATAATTATTTTTCGATTGATTTCATCGCACCCATGTCAACTGTAACGTAATACAATCGACATTTGCCTATCATGATTGCTTTTTACTCTATTTTCCCATTTCAGATTTATGCGTGGGTTTACTCAGCGTGTTGACAGATATTATTTGGCGGATGACAGTATCCTGGAAGGCCGGAAACATTGCGTGCAAAGCCATTCGGTTCGTTCAAGCTAGTGTCACCTACGCATCCACCTACGTGCTGGTGGCTCTGAGCATCGACCGGTACGACGCCATCACACATCCCATGAACTTCTCCGGATGCTGTGAGTTGCTGTGTTTAGCTTCAAAAATAAATTGTTCCAAGTGCTAGCAGCACGGGATGATATTAATCCTATTTGCTTGAATGTTCCCATATTTCAGGGAATCGCGCTCGTCGGTTGGTTGCTGCAGCTTGGAGTTTAAGTGCGCTTTTCTCGCTTCCTATTTTCTATCTCTATCAGGAAAAATCCATACAGGGTGAGCATCCAATTTCCTGTTCCACAATAATGAACTCATCGGATTTTCAATCTGTGGTGACATATTTACAGGAAGAAAGCAGTGCTGGATTGATTTGGTCGATCCCTGGCGGTGGCAAGTGTACATGTGTTGGGTTGCCAGCTCGCTCTTTGTTTTGCCAGCACTGATCATCTCAGCATGTTATGCAATCATCGTCAAGACAATTTGGGCCAAGGGAGCAATTATGGGACCAATCGGTATGGACTCACATACAACTGGAGTGCAATTACTCTCGAATTGTGCACTATTTTCCACTCACTTTTAATCTTATTGCAGATCGAACTCGAAATGGAATTGCCGATTTGGCCAGCAGGAGAGCCAGCTCACGGGGCATCATTCCAAAGGCAAAAGTAAAAACGGTCAAGATGACTATTGTAATAGTGATAGTATTCGTACTCTGCTGGTCGCCGTACATAGTGTTTGACCTGTTGCAAGTGTTTGGCCAGATTCCGAACACCCAAACCAACATTGCGATTGCAACGTTCATCCAAAGTCTGGCACCGCTGAATTCGGCTGCCAATCCACTGATTTACTGTCTCTTCTCAACACAAGTCTGTCGAATGATCAAGTAAGTGATGTCATTCAACTATTTGACTGTTGTCCAAGGTCACATTTGTCTGTTGGTTTTACGATAGATATGTCCTGCCAATACTTGCAAATCAATTTCAGTTCTTCTGTATAGTCCAATAATTTACAATTAGTCCAACTACCCTAAACATTTCGACTGCCATTTCTACATGGCACATTATCTACAGTTTAGCGGCTTCCTAAGATTTCAATAAAGCTGGCTGATAAACGCTCACTAAAGTTGAGATTACGCGGTTGAAGTGAGTTGATTCAATCTACCTCACATTGACATTGCCAAGAAGTATGGAATTCTATGTCGACTGAAAAATTATTTAACTATTGCCAGTAAAATACAGCTATACAAATAAATCATCTCTTCTCATCTAGACTTTTGCCCTTCCATTTTATTTCTGGCCAATGAAACGCAAATATTGAGATTACAGCGCTTGCAGAATAAAATAATGCGTTTGATATTGGGATGTAATAGATTCGCCTAGACGCCTTGCAATGGTTGTCGGTGAAGCAAAGAATTGTATGTTTGACTAAGGTGTTCATTTTTAAAGTATTTAACGGTTTCCTGCCTCGATATTTGTGTTACCGAATTGAACGAGGAAGTGACATTCATAGATATAATACTAGAAACGTGGTTGAAATAAAAACACCACATTTCTTGACTTCAGCAACACTTACAGAATTTAAAAGACACTGCATTTCCCACGGTAAAACTTTCTTTTGAACAGTTATCCAATATGTTTTTTTTTTTTGTGAATTGACAAATTATGTATCTTGACGAAGTTATCTCTAACGGATTATTTTGTAAGGATAGTTGTCATAATGACTTTTTAATAATTAAAGGCTGACTTAAAGTAAATTGGTATGCACAAAAAGCCCTCTTATTTGTGATTCATTAAGTTAAAAAAGTCCATTAATGGTTGCTTTACAGTGCTTTTATTAAAACTTCAAAATAACAGCATTAGATGGTTATATTTCTTCAGTTCGAACGAAATCTCGAACCTTCCTCTTGATGGAGCCCATCAGCGCCCGCGCAATGGAAACAGACATGGAATCGACGCATTTCTTCCATTTTTCCCGCATTTGGCGGATGTCCTTGACTGCCCCGCCGCTTCGTCGAAGTCGCTGCTTTGAAATTGCCCACCCGTAAAAAAAGAACGATAGAGGTACAATGAAATGTATTGTAACAATACAATAGAATTTATTGTACTTAAAGTAAATTGTACTGTCCACAACGATAAAATAACCATAGAATGTATTGTTTTCACAAAACAATCAATGGTAAATGGGTAAATATACAATAGAACAAGGCGGTTGTTATGTATCTCAACCGTACATAAAATCACTTTTTTCGAACAATCTTGACGAACGGAAATACACGCTTTTTCAGGCATTCTTCGATGTAAACTTGGGATGCCATCGTCAAGGATGTGACGAATGGTTCCGTTTTCAGGCCACAACTGCAAATCGTTTGCCAAATCATGGCCTTCTTCGCGAACTTGTCGTCAAACACGAACTTGAATCTTCCCGGCACATCCCCACGTCCAGTCGCAATGTAAAACTTTTGACCGGGCAGCTGCTTAAAATCGAGTTTGACGTATGTTTCGTCAACGATCAAAGTGAAGCCCTTGTGTTTCGTCAAAACACGGTCGTACAAGAGCCTTGCACGGTTTTTGCCCACGGAATTCTGCTTCATGTGCCGATTCGGATGTTTACTGGCTTTGTACAACTTGTATCCTTCCCTGGCAAGGATGTTCCGCACCGTTTGAAAGTTGGCGTTGTGCCTTCTAATCACATCTCGGATCGAAAGGCCGGGTTGGGCATCTCAACACCTAGCTGCGCAGCTGACGATCCCTTGTTCCAGTTTTTTCGTAGGTCCGCTAATTCCTTTCCACATGCAGAGTTGCCTTGTAGGTTTTGAGCACTCGAAAAACTGTTTTTTTTTTCATCTTCAGCACTTTAGCCAGCTTGGAACCGGACCACTCCGGATTTTACGCAATATATTTTCTTTTTTCAGGTTCCTTTTGACGTTATTTCTGAACGCGATCGACTACTTTGATCAAACTTGCACCAGTTGTTCTCTATAGAAGTGTAACAAACCTCTGTCAAAGATTTTTGATTCCCATCACTAGAGGCGTGCTAGCGGCGCGCGAGGAGCATATCAATTTCCTTTTAATCAGCCTTTATTGTAGCACTGCAAAAAGTATTTTGTTCGCCACGATGGTGATGATGGATTTTTGATATTTGATTTAACATTAGTAGTTAATAAAAAAATGTAAGTAGTAATGTAAGACTTAAACCCCGGACGCGTATTACAGAAATATATGACTGATTTTAACATTTCAGTGCCATCATTTCAAAGGGGCGTAATTGCATTTGTAAACAATGGCTTTAGCCGTCGATTTCTCACGAATAAAAACTCACTCATGAAAAATAATGATACCAGCAGGTAGAGGAATGTTTCCTCTACCAGCTAGAATTGTTATTTTGGAGAGGTAAGATTTCATTCGCGAGAAATTGACGGCTAAAGTCATTGTTTACAAAAGCAATTACGCCCCTTTGAAATGTTGGCACTGGTTTGATAAAAAAAAATATTTTGAAGCTTATTTGGAAGATGCTTTGAAGAAGTAGTAAGTTTTCTGGCTGAATGTCGGGCATTCATTTATGGCAAAATGAACTTGATTTTTTTGCTTTTGAGGATTGTTTCCAATTTTGACAATTCTGGGTTGGAAACTCAAGCGTTGATGAATATCAACAAACGCGTATTCGTGGATGGATAATGATCTAATTTGTTCATTTCGCTCTTACGTTGACAACGAAGATTTTCAAAACAAACGCAATTAATCTACACTGGGTTAAAGCGGTTGTCAGTGCGTGTGAGGGTAAATGAGAAAAACAGACTCTGGTGGTCATTTCAAGTACCTAGGATCACATTAGACATATCCGAACATGTTCCGGAAGATTCCTCTTCCCTTTATGGGAAAAACTGTCATACGATACATAAAATCAATACGTAAGAAGGGTGAAGATCTCACCATAGGTTGATTAATTCAGGTTATTTCATGATCTAAGGAAAAAAACTAATATGCATGGACTTTTGATATGTTTTTCCTATATTTTTAGAAGTATCAAAACGTACCTAAAAGGAATGTTCTTTTTTTGCGGTAAGCTCACCGACAAACCGACATGATGGACCATAGCAAAAACAATGGTATTTCTGACCAAAGCACACTGCTGACGTCTGACTCCGTGTTCGTGGGAAATATTTAGCCAAGCCATGAACCTGCATGAAACATTTATGAATTGGTTCGTGTCTGATCTATTCTGGACAAATTATTTTTATCTCGATAAAAAAATCCTATGGTTCGAATCACTGCACGTTTAAATCGGCCGTTTACGATTTTCGGGCATAAGTCAGAATTAAGTGTCATGCCGGTTTGTCGGTGGTAAGCTTCCCCCTAACACACACTGCGTTTCTTACGACCAACTTTTTATGAGCGATTGTTGCGTGACGGTGGTGTTCACACGGAACGATTTTATAGCGACACAAAATTGGTTTGAGTCTATGGTAAAGGGGAAACCATGGGGAAACAGATAAAACGGAAACGAGAAAAAAGCTGAGATTTCGAATCGCGTTGGGGGTTGGTAACTTGACGGAAGTTTTATGAACATCTCGAAAGTTCTATAAACACCTCGGAAGTTCTATGAACTGTTCAGAAGCTCTATAAACTGCTCGGAAGCTCTATGAACATCTCGAAAGTTCTATGAGACTTTTGTTTAAGCTCTATGAACAGCTCGGAAGTTTATGAACTGCTTGTAAATTCTATGAATTGCTGGGAAGTTCTGTGATCATCTTGGAAGTTCCATGCTCATCTCTGCGGAAGTTTCATGCTCATCTGCTCTTATGTTCTGTGAACTACTCGAAAGTTCTGTGAGCTGCTCGGAAGTTCTACAAACATTTAGAAAATTGTATGAATTTCTCGAAAGTCCTGAAAACTGCAGTTCTATGTTCTATGAACTGGTTTGATGTCCTTATAACATCGGAAGTTATAAGAACATATCGTTAACTCTACTAACTAATTGGAAGTTCAGTAATATAAACAATAAAAATAATAACACATTTCAGAAGATATATGAGCGGCGCCAGTGGTGTAGAGGTAAGCGTGATCACCTCTCACCCCAACAGGCCTGGGTTCAATCCCAGTCGGTGCCGCCAGGATGTTCTGAGGTATAACATCTCTAATCACTCCTTCCTTCGGAAGGAAAGTAAATCCGTTGGTCCAGGTTCATGAGTTCATGGGTCGATAGGTAGGGAGAGCCCAGGTGTGGGAGCTGTCTCCCTGGCGTCGGTAGCATTGGTGCTCAGCATGGAAAAAAGATCGACGGAAAACAAATCAAGGAAAAAAAAAGAAGATATATGAACATTTCGGAAGTAGTATCAACATCATGAAAGTTCTATGAACCGTTCGAAAGATCTATGAGACTTTTGTTTAAGCTCTATGAACAGCTCGGAAGTCTTATTAACTGCTTGGAAGATCTATGGACTGCTCGCTCGGGCTTCTATGAACATCGCAAAAGTGAAATTCTATTAATTTCTCTAAAGTCCTGTGAAAATTCTAGTTCTATCAACAGGTGAAGGGGATGCTGAACCGAGATGCTTGCAAAGAAAAATGGAAAGAAAAGAGAGATTCTTAAAAGTGCTGGAGCTCTGTGAACTTGTCGAAAGTTCTATGAATATGTCGGAAGTGCAGTGAACCTGTCAAAAATTATGTAAATTTTTAGGTTGTTCTGTGAACTTTTCTGAAAGTGAAATTGTAGGAAGATAAGTGAACTTGGTGTAAGTTTCATGAATTTGTTGGAAGATCTACGAACTTGTCAAACATTTTGTGAACTTTCCGGAAATTCTGTGAAATTGTCGGAATTTTGGTGAACCTGTTGGAAGTTCTAAGAATTTCTCGGAAAATCTATGAACATGTCGGAAGTACCTGC